TATCCAGTGCAAGGGCCAGCAGCAACTGATTGAAAATGTGAATTTCTGTAGGCTTCCCAAAGAGGCAAACTATTCTTATTTTTGAACATAAGAAAGATGATCTGGGAAATCTAGAAGGTCAAAGTCTTACAGAAATAGCCTCAGGGCCACACATACAGAGCCTGAGGGGCACACTTTGTTCACCTAGATAAAAGATCTAGCTTCCTGGGTCAGATCAAAGGGCCATCTTTCTGTGGCCAGCCCTTGATTCCATGAAACACACAAAATGATGGTATCTTGTTACAAGGTTGATTTTTGTCTGTCTTCATGTGGGCTTGCAAAAATCACCACCACCAGGACCCATTTCTGGTTTGGCATCTAGGTATGTGCCTACATTATACAAAAAATAATTTAAAAATTCTGATTCATACAATGAGTTTTATTAAGTTTTGAAAAAAGGAAGTTATGCTGCCTCACCCTGTATATATATGTGTGAATATATATGGGCTCAAACCTTCATAGATGGATACTTCTCGACTCAAGTAGTAGGCCCCCTTATAACTCATAGGAATGATGCTGTTTTAATTAATGTCTATAATGTTTATTGTTAATGTGTTTTAGCTTATGTTATATTGCTTTGATGTATTATTATTTCTCTATTTTATATATGTCACTGTATTTATTATGTTGTGAGCTGCACCGAGCCCCTTGGGGAGATGGGGCAGGGTACAAAAATGTTTGTTGTTGTTGTTGTTGTTGTTATTATTATTATTATTATTATTATTATTATTATTATAATCACTAAAACTGGTTTGGCTTAGGAGGAACAATCAATGTAAGGAAGTAACAAGAATGTTGCTGGGTACTTACTCAATCTTAATAATAATAATAATAATAATAATAAACTTTATTTATACCCCGCCACCATCTCCCTGATGGGGACTCGGAGCGGCTTACATGGGGCCAAGCCCAGACAACATATTACAGCAATAAAATCATATTACAGCACCGAGCTCCTTGGGGAGATGCGGCAGGGTACAAAAATGTTTGTTATTGTTGTTATTATTATTATTATTATTTAATCACTAAAACTGCTTTGGCTTAGGAGGAACAATCAGTGTAAGGAAGTAACAAGAATGTTGCTGGGTACTTACTCAATAATAATAATAATAATAATAATAATAATAATAATAAACTTTATTTATACCCCGCCACCATCTCCCCAATGGGGACTCGGAGCAGCTTACATGGGGCCAAGCCCGGACAACTTATTACAGCAATAAAATCAAAACAGCAAACAACAACAACATCATCAGAATTACAAAAAAAAAGTCATAAAATAACATTCTAATAAGCTCAGTCACAATCTTTGACCTGTTGGATCAGGTCTGCATATCCTGTGTCCCTCCAGGTGTTTTGGACTTCAGCTCCCAGAATTCCTGACCATTGGACAAATTGGATGGGGCTTCTGGAAGTTGCAGTTCCAAATACCTGGAGGGTCACAGGTTGTGAAGGCCTGCTTTTGATTCTATGGACCTCAACAAACAGAAACCTCAGTAGTGAAAGATTCTTGGGAAATAGAGTCCAAAACATCTGCAAGGCTGAGAGTTGAAATGCTGTATATCACCTTCCATGTCACATACTGATGGATACTAACCTTGAATATACTTCACCTTGGCAGGTGTAGCCAACTTGCTAACAGGGCAGAGGAAGAACTTGGTGGCTATGGCAAAGACCTGGTGGAACCAGTTCAGCATCAATGCAATGCAGCTGCTTCATTACAACAAGGCTGTTTGTGGCTACCACTTGGGCTACCTGGACGAGGAGTGGGATCTCTTAACTGGGGTAGTGGCCAAGCTCGTTGATCTCTACAATCAAGGCAAAATCAAGCCAAAGGTGGACTCCGTTTGGCCCTTTGAGCAGGTGAGCATGTGTTGCAGGGCGGAAAGTTCTCCTTGAGTGTCATGTACTCCCCTGAAAACTTACTGATTTTTAAGGAATAGTGTCTCCCCACAAAGAATCTGCAATTTTGTAGCCCTGGCATCTCTTTTCAGAAAAACTAACATTGACACATTGCACATCACATATGCCACATTTCTTCTGGAACAAGTGATGAATCTCATCAGTAGGGGCATCAATGATCATGTTAAATGCATGCCTTAACTTTTGTATGCTATTCTGGATGACAGCCTTGGAAGTCTAGTCTGAATTGCTAAAGGGAATAAAAAAGATGGGTGAGGAGAGCAAGGGAAGGCAGGTGGGGGGCAGGGGAGGATTACACTGAACTTTCTCCGACTGCTTTTTTATTTGGTCATCTGATGATGCTGATGGGAGCGCAGAAACTGGGTGAGCAAATGAATGAGTCATACATTCACTTCCTCTTTGCATTAGCTGTTCTTTTTGAGTCAATAGGAGAGAGCACTCAAAGTAAACTCACAAGCTATTCTTGATCATTTCATTGCCTTGACATTAAAATAATCTTCTGCACTGAATTCTGGTTACTTAGGAGGACCACTGTCGTCATTTCCCTGTATAATTTAAGAATTTATTCAATAATAATTCAATTAATATTCAAGAATAATCCCAGAGTGCCCAGATGCTAGAGGAATTATTTATTTCAATTTATTTATTTCGAGCGCTTATACCCTGCTCTTCTCAACCCCCAAGGGGGGACTCAGGGCGACTTATAAAAGGCACAATTCGATGCCTAACAGTTCACAAAATACAATATACAAATACAATATAACAACAACAATTATAACTAGTTAAAACAATCAAATTAATACAATAGCAGCAATAAAATCATCTTGTGGTCAATGTTTGCCAATTCATAAATCCATAGTCCATCCAGCATTATCATAGTCCTTTCCTACTCTGGTCGTCATTGTCCTTTATCCATCTGCCAGCTTACCCAAAGGCCTGGTCCCATATCCAGGTTTTTAACTTCCTTCTGAAAGAGAGGAGGGATGTTGATGACCTAATTTCCCCGGGGAGTGAATTCCACAGGCGAGGGGCCACCACCGAGAAGGCCCTGTCCCTCGTCCCCACCAGTCTCACTTGTGATAAAGGTGGGGCCGAGAGCAGGGCCTCCCCAGAGGATCTTAAACTCCGAGGTGGGACGTAGAAGGAGATACATTCGGACAGGTACGCTGGGCCGGAGCCGTATAGGGTTTTGTAGGACAAAACCAGCACCAGGAAATAGCTTATCTTTCCTCTTATCTTATATTGTGGGCACCACAATTGAAGAGAGATATTGACAAGTCCTATGAGGAGCGGCTTAAAGAGCTGGGCATGTTTAGTCTAAAGAAGAGAAGGCTGAGAGGAGACATGATAGCCATGTATAAAAATGTGAGAGAAAGATCTTCCGGGGAGGCCCTGCTCTCGATCCCGCCTGCTTCTCGGTGGTGGCTCCTCGGCTGTGGAACGCCCTTCCTACGGACATTAGACTAGCACCATCTCTAATGGTATTCCGCAAAAAAGTGAAGACCTGGCTGTTTGAGCAGGCGTTCGAATAATTAGTGCAATGATTGGTTAATGAACACTGGAATGGAACAATGGATGACGAATCTGGAACATGTTTTTGATGATGAGACGATAATGAATGGTTATTGTAGTAATTGTTTATTAATTGTGTAATGTGTTAGGTTGTTAACTGTTTTTATACTGTAGCATTGAATTTTTGCTGTTCTTATTTGTTGTGAACCGCTGTGAGTCGCCTTCGGGCTGAGAACAGCGGTATATAAGTAAGGTAAATAAATAAATAAATAAAGTCATAGGGAGGATGGAGCAAGCTTGCTTTCTGCCATCCAAATGTTTCTTCCCGATGGGTGAAGTTATGAGAGAGGGCATTATGTTTTTTATTTTTGGACTTTTATAGCAATACTAACTTGTACAAAATCAGTATTTTATAACTTTATTCTTATATCCATCTCCCCAAAGGGACTCGAGGCAGCTTACATGGGGACCAAGCCCAATATAAACAAGGTTGCAAAGTAACACAATTAAAAACATATAAATTATATGCTACCCCTCTATTCTGCCTTGGTTAGACTTCACCTGGAATATTGTGTCCAATTTTGGGCACCCCAATTGAAGAGAGATATTGACAACCTGGAATGTATCCAGAGGAGGGCGACTAAAATGATCAAGGGTCTGGAGAACAAGCCCTATGCGGAGCGGCTTAAAGAGCTGGGCATGTTTAGCCTGAAGAAGAGAAGGCTGAGAGGAGATATGATAGCCATGTATAAATATGTGAGAGAGGAAGTCACAGGGAGGAGGGAGCAAGCTTGTTTTCTGCTTCCCTGGAGACTAGGACACGGAACAATGGCTTCAAACTACAAGAAATGAGAAAGATTAGGAAAAACTTCCTGACTGTGAGACATATGCAGGAGACAAGATGAAACTGTCCCCTGGCCCCCTCTCTCTTCACTCTGGCCCAGAGCAGCAGTTGGTGCTGGGGGAGGGGTCCCCAACTGATGACATATGCAGGAGACAAGGTGGAACTGTCTTCTGGACCCCTCTCTCTTCACTCTGGCCCAGAGCAGCAGTTGATGCTGGGGAGAAGGGTCCCCAACTGATGACATATGCAGGAGACAAGATGGAACTGGAACTTTCTTCTGCCTTCACTCTGGCCCAAAGCAGCAGTTGGTGCTTCGGGGAGGGGGCCCCAACTGATGACATATGCAGGAGACAAGATGGAACTGTCCCCTGGCCCCCTCTCTCTTCACTCTGGCCCAGAGCAGCAGTTAGTGCTGGGGGGAGGGGTCCCCAACTGATGACATATGCAGGAGACAAGATGGAACTGTCCCCTGGCCCCCTCTCTCTTCACTTTGGCCCAGAGGAGCAGTTGGTGCTGGGAGGAGTGGACCCAACTTAAGACATATGCAGGAGACAAGGTGGAACTGTGCCCCTGCCCCCCTCCCTTCACTCTGGCCCAGAGCAGTAGTTGGTGCTGGGAGGAGGGGTTCCCAACTGATGACATATGCAGGAGACAAGATGGAACTATCTCCTGGCCCCCTCTCTTCACTCTGGCCAAAGTGGTAGTTGGTGCTGGGAGGAGGAGTCCCCAACTGATGACATATGCAGGAGACAAGGTGGAACTGTCCCCTGGCCCCCTCTCTTCACTCTGGCCCAGAGCGATAGTTGGTGCTGGGGGGAGGAGTCCCCAACTGATGATATGCAGGAGACAAGGTGGAACTGTAAACTCTTGATAATGGCCCGTGGCACTGGAAAGCACTGAGAAGAGACCAGCCTCTGCACAAAGACTTTGATCTTAAGCAATTGAATAAATCTCCTGTCCCTTGTCTTTTTGAAGGTGGTGGATGCCATGAAGCAGATGCAAGAGAAGAAGAATGTTGGGAAAGTGGTCCTGGTCCCTGAAGCACCACCGAAGGAGGAAAGCAAGAAAGCAGAGAACTAAAGCAAAGGGGAATGGGTGGATTGTCTGACCTCAGGTCCTTATGTTGGTTTTTGTTGGGTTGGGTTGTTGTCCCCCCTCCCCTTTGGTTCTCCCCAGTTCCACCCTTTTCCCCAATCCCACCCTCCCCAGTTCCACCCTACGTCCTTTTGAGGGAAGTAGGAATGGACAGATCTCTCGCTGCTGTTACTGGAACCAGTGGCATAAAGATGGAAGAGATGATGCAAAGTTAAAGATGATGCAAATCTCTTGAGCTTCACAAACTCTTCTGGAGGTGGCGCTCAGACAATTGCACCATTTTTGTGAACTAATTGGCTGGCCTTGTTTTAATTTTGAAAACATCCTATTGATCATGCACCTCTATTTTTGTGGGGTCAACCCTTAAAGGAACCTGAAAGCATCATATGGAGGGTAGGGTGGCCAAGGCAGGTGCTTCTACTGCAATCTCATATGGGTTTTTTTTTTCCAACATCCTTCTCTTTTCCCTCTTACCCACCCACAACTCCATATCCTTACCTGAGCCATTTTACCTCTAGGACCTTTTCTCTTCCCTTCATCTCCCTCCCACCCCCAATCTGCCTCTGAGCACACAGTGACTAATAACTTTCGAGCATGTAAAACTCCCATTGTTACAGCAACTATTGAGTGTTTCTGTGGAAACGAAGCTTCAAATCTGCCACTTCCGATGGGCACATTTAATAAGCGGAAAATGCCAGACCTTTTCTCTCTATTTTTTTGGCAGCTTGGCTGTTGCACAAAAAAGTGGGATGTGGGGGAGGGAGGAAAGACAAATTGTGCCTCTGCCACAGAGCCTAGACACTACCGCTGCCTTCTCTTCCGATACGCAAGTGCCACACTGCAGGACAAGGCCCCTTTCTTTCAGGGACTACAGTTCCCACCATCCACTGACCAAACATGGCTGTGGATATAAGGAGTTGTAGTCTGAAAAAAGGGAACTTGTCCAAGTACTTCATGATACTATGTAGGCAAACCTCTCACACCGAAATCCTGCCATAGGATTGGATTTGTGGAAGGATCTATAGCTAAACTGTCATTGATTTTCTTTCATGGGGAAGCCTCGCTTTGTGCCCAGATGAAATGGGTCATGTAGGCAAAATACTTAACGGTGCCAAGCAGCTGACTAGCCTGTAATCTCAGATCTGCACTATCGCATGCTAGAAATCAGTTATTCTGTCATGGTAATGGCATATGACTTAGCAAGAGGCTGGTCTGATGTTTTAATGTACTTTTTTGCCACATTTAAGAAATAAACCATGTTCTAATCACAGCTGGCTGGAAGAAAAGAGACTAACCATCTCCTCTTACCATTCAGAAAGTTGTTTTGCTTTGAAACAAAAGGAATCCTGGTATTGTATATGCTCCAGTCTTGCCCAAGATGGCGTCCAGAATGAAAGCAGTTCAAGACTCAGTATTGCATCGTTTGGGGCAAATGTGCTGATGACATGAGTAATTCTCTGCAAGGAGACCAGGAGGCAGAAACTCTTCCTCACATCTGGAAAATGGGCTGCTCCCTCTAAGAATGGATGCTGACTGGTCCTACTGCAGCCATCCATCCAGTTCTGTGTAGGCCACTCAGCTGAAACGCTTCTTCTACCCAATTCACCCATTATTTATATAGGTTCTAGTCTCTTCCTTCAAAATGAAAGATGTTGCTTTCCTATCTTCTGGCCCTCTTCCTTCTTGATAACTCTTGTCAAGCTTCCTTGATCCACCGCAGAAGATCACTTTGTGTTCAGATACAGATGTCCTACAGTTGTGCCCAATTTTCCCCATAGCATTTTGCTGGATCTCTCTTAGGCCAAGGCATGGCCCTTCTCTTCATTCTGGTCAGTAGGCACAAGCAAAGGGGCAAGGCACCCACTCTCATTCCTCAGCCATCTTCCTTTGTCTTCATTGCTGGTCAAGACAGGAAGCCTGAAGGCCAGCATTCTGCCTTTTCCTTGCAAAGTACAGCGAACCTGACTCTTAAACCTTTGCATTTCTTGCAAACCTTTTCTCCTATGAAGAACATGTGGCCAAAGTATTCTATTTGGTTGATATGCGAGAGAGGTGGGCATATTTGGGGCTTGGATTGGCACATGGTTGTCTCATAATTTTTCTGGGGATCCTCCGCTTGTAAATCCTTTGCTGCAATGTGGTGTCGATGATGCTCATTTTGAGAATATTTACACAGGTCCTGTCCTTGGCTGTAGCTTTTTAGATCCTTGGCATCTTTTGGTAGTGGAGAATATGAGATGGGGTTTTTTTTGGTCTCACTGGCTTATGAGGTGTTGAAGGCTTCATACTTTTGAAGTGTGAATGTGCGTATGCATAATACTTCCCTTTGCTTTCCAAGCATCTATCTGCTGCAGTAGTTGTTAGTATAGGTGTTTTAAGACAAAATGCTCTGGCCACTGCGGTGCTTGCTAAAAGGTGCATTTCCAAGACCCTCCTTGTTTTGTTTTGCTTAAATATGGTGAAAACAAAGCACATGGCTTGCAGGCAACTCCCATTTTTGTTTTCCTTCTCTAGAATACATCAGGTGTATTCCGGAACTATGAGATTTTGCTTTGCAGCACCTAGAACTAACTATTTAAGCTAGATCCTGTCATTTTTTAGCCTCACCGGTTTCCTCTTCTGAGATATTTTGGACTGATTGCATCCACCACAGCAGCCATTTTGTGAATTGGCACCTTTCTCATTGACAGTCATCTTGGGATGGAATTTCATCAGAATTCTAAATGTGTCCGCAGACCAAACAATCAGCCATCTTCCAGGTTACCTACATGGATCCCGAAAAGCTCTACTAACCTTTTCAATGAGTAACATAAGGAGGCATCTTAAAGATTCATCATGAGAGCAATCTTGATCTGACAGCTTAACAATCCAAAGGGTTGTTCTGAACAAAAAATGGGAAGAGCCAATTCAAACAACTCTTCTTCTTACAGTGCCTCATTTATTTTATCACAGAATCATGGCATTCTATATATCTGGAAGCAGTGCAATTTGGAGATCCATCTTGTTTGGTGACTCAAACAGAGTTATATAACACAGAGTAGTTACTTACATCTTTTAAGCTATCCTCTTATTGAATGATATTATGGGTTCTAGACTTCATGCCAATTCTAGGCATTTAGTAGGTAGAAGAGCTGGGCAAGATTTCAGCTAGAGAAGTACCATAGGTGCTCAGTGGTCTGACTGAGTTCAAGGCAGATTCACATGTGCATATAAGTTAGGCAACCAGCTGCTCACTTACAGGTCAGTGTAAATAAATTCTCAGCACTACAATATGAGAGCCAATATACTGAACACCCAGGTTATCCAGGCTGTGACCTTGTGTTTCCAACATACCACTTCCTTCCAGAGCTTACAAGTTACTTCGTATGGATTGCAAGTTCCACAATTTTGCCAGCTCATGTGATCACCAAATACGGGGGATTCAGGAATTGTAGTTTTAAAAAAGGAGGCATGTTTGCAAACTCTGCGTTGCTCAGAAACCAGTCTTTGGGAGGCAATGCGGTGTTGGTCATAGTAGGCTTTGGTTACTTTCTGTCCGTCTCCTTTTACCATCTGCTCCAGGTGGGTTAGACTTTGAGACATACTCAAGGCTGCTTTTGTCAGAGGGCCAGAACTCTTCTCAGGCTTGTACGAACTTGCCAACCCAGTATGAAGTCTTACAAAACAAGCAAGCTGGAGTTGCCAACTCCCCTTGTGTAAAGCACAATAAGGATGATGAAAATCAGATCATGCGTGCCCGACTCTGGAACTCCCAACCTCAAACAAAGGAGGTGCGTTGAGAAGGAAGTGATGCCAAGGCTCACACATCCTCCTCTCTTACCTTCCTTCTTGCTGCTGCCTGGTGCCTTATTCCGGATGGCATTTCAGAACTTTTGTAACCTATCCTTTTAATACTGCGAGGAACAGCCTTGCCTTTAGAAGAACTCCAATGCTGCATCATTAACTCCCAGTTTTACCAGTGCCTTGTTCCAAACAGTACGTTCCAACTAACCCCAGACTAATTCTAAAAAGAGTGCACCTGCCCCAATCAACCGGTATGAAATATGGGATCAATATGATTGTATTTTTGACCAGCCTCAAGGTCGCCTGTATAATATGGTGCTCTTCTGCAAAAGTACATGCATCTTCTGACAAGGTGCTGAAAATTCCTAAAAATTTCCCACTAGGGCATTTTCATAGCTGTGCTAAAGAAACCCTTTTAATCTCCAAGCACTACTTCAACATGTGAATGTGCTATACAAAGATACTACATTTTAAACCTGACTCAGTGTACCACTTTCAGAATTCTGTTTCCAGTGTCCCATATGAAAATGGGCCTCTCCTTTCAATATATTACACTTGTCTTTAGGAAAAGGTTAGTATTGGCTCACAAACTATTTGAGAGATTCTAATAGGCAGTTAACTAACCACCGTGAATAGAATACTGGAGCCCTTTCACACTTAAATTATAACATTTTGATTCCACTTTAACTGTCATGGCAACATCTTAGAGTCCCAGGATTTGCAGTTTAGGGAGGCAAAATACTCCTTTATTAACAGCAATCCCTGTGTTTCCATAGGACTGAACTATGACAGTTTTAGTGGCATCATGGGGCTATAACTGTGTAAGCTCAACAAATATCCCATTTATACAGAAAATAAAAAATAACAGAATTCAATGTATGCTTGTATAAACTTGCTATACTGTTCAAATTCATAGTGATCACAAACAGTATTATATGAGTTTTTGTACAGTCACTTTGAAATGGCATCAACACCGTGTCGTCTTATGTTGAGTTGCATATGAATTGGCCGTCCACAACCAGTTTCGGCCTTGCTCCAGACCTTCCTTTGGTGGACTAAAATTATTATATACATCAAAATTTGCTGTAAATATGTATATTGAACATCATATACTGAAATACATTTGGAAATACTTGCAAAATTATACACTTAGCACTTATATACATCAGCATTGTATTGTCGAAGGCTTTCACGGCCAGAATAACTGGGTTGTTATAGGTTTTTTCGGGCTATATGGCCATGTTCTAGAGCAGTGGTTCTCAACCTGGGGTCCCCAGATGTTTTTGGCCTACAACTCCCAGTTTACCAGCTGTTAGGATTTCTGGGAGTTGTAGGCCAAAAACATCTGGGGACCCCAAGTTGAGAATCAGTGTTCTAGAGGCATTCTCTCCTGATGTTTCGCCTGCATCTATGGCAAGCATCCTCAGAGGTAGTGAGGTCTGTTGGAACTAGGAAAATGGCTTTATATATCTGTGGAATGACCAGGGTGGGACAAAGGACTCTTGTCTGCAGGAGCTGAGTGTGAATGTTTCAACTGACCACCTTGATTAACATTTGATGGCCTGGCAGTTGTTTCGTGTGGCTTGTTAGTGCTTGGGGGAATCTTTTGTTGAGAGGTGATTAGATGTCCCTGATTGTTTCCTCTCTGTTGTTGTGCTGTTGTAATTTTAGAGTTTTTTAATACTGGTAGCCAGATTTTGTTCATTTTCATGGTTTCCTCCTTTCTGTTGAAATTGTCCACATGCTTGTGGATTTCAGTGGCTTCTCTGTGTAGTCTGACATGGTGGTTGTGAGAGTGGTCCAGCATTTCTGTGTTCTCAAATAATATGCTGTGTCCAGGTTGGTTCATCAGGTGCTCTGCTATGGCTGACTTCTCTGGTTGAAGTAGTCTGCAGTACCTTTCATGTTCCTTGAAACATCAACTTTAGTTGCAATTTTTTTTTTGTCGTGTCAGGAGCGACCTGAGAAACTGCAAGTCGCTTCTGGTGTGAGAGAATTGGCCGTCTGCAAGGACGTTGTTGCCCAGGGGACACCTGGATGATTTTTGATGTTTTATCATCCTTGTGGGAGGCTTCTCTCATGTCCCCGCATGAGGAGCTGGAGCTAATAGAGGGAGCTCATCCGCCTCTCCCCGGATTCGAACCTGCGACCTGTCGGTCTTCAGTCCTGCCGGCACAGGGTTTAACCCACTGCGCCACCGGGGGCAAATGTATCCATATATATCATATCATAGCATATTGTTTGTGATCACTGTGAATTTGAACAGTATAACAAGTTTATACAATTATACGTTGAATTATATTATTTTCTATTTTCTGTATAAGTGGGATATTTGTTGAGCTTACTAACTCAAGAACCCATGTGTAATCTGGAAGGGCCCCTGGACTAGACAGGCGTTTGGTTTGGTGTGATTCAGCAGATTTCTTATATTCTTCAGAAATGGAGCAATTGCCCTTTTTACCTATGTACAAATGCACTCGAAGGGGC